TAAAAGTAAAACTTCTCATAAGTGATCATTGATGGAAAGTGAAGCCATGAGATCACTTGGGCTTCCACTTTTGCCTTCACTCACCTCCGTTGGCTGATTCACATTTCTCAACACATCCAATGCCTCTGAAACTTTGGCATTTAGAGCCTCTGGTGACTCGAGCAGATGCAACACTTCAGTCTGGTCCATCTCAAGAAGCATACCGGTCACTTTGGCAGCGTTCTCGGGATCTATCTGATTCACTAATGGGTATAGACTCTCACCTAGAATCTTCACAAACCAAAAAAGAAAAGAAAAACAGACTGTAAGTGAACTGCGACTCGGTTTGAAAGACTTATTTGTTGAGAGAGGACTTACTGTTCTCTGCTGAGCAGAAGGGACACTAGCAAGGGAAGAAGCCAATGCACCAGCGGGCATAGGCTGACCAAAAGGCATTCCATTCATGTCATAAGCAACTGGAACCATTCCTCCCGGCATTGGACCGTCGGGCATGTTTCTACCTGGAGGGTAACGGTATCCGCGTCCTCTTGGGATCATCTAGAGGAGAGAAGAGAAAGCAATGGCTTATATAATCATTTGACGCGGGATTTAAGAAATGTTTTTTTAAGCTAAGCACTGACTAACCGATGGCTGCATAAAAGGCATTGGCTGCTGAGGCTGGTGACGCATGGGTCCATCACCTGACCGCCTCCCACCTGGTCGTGGACCTTGCTGACCTGGCTGCATCATGGGGCCAAAATAGTTCGGGGGCCTCATTCCAGGAACCAGCTGAGGCTGATATCCAAATCCAGGCTATCAAAGATATAAGAAAAATCAGATGAGTGGTTAGTGATCTCTAATTACAACATTTTAAATCTACGGTAATCTATCTTGTAAGATGATATCGAGAAGATTGAGACTTTTATCCAACAGGATAAGTCTGCCATGAATCAAGCCAAGCTACATAGCAGTGAAACAAATATCAGCTTTAGAAAAAAAAGTGGTACCTGGTGAGGAATGATTGGAGGCCCTTGACCATAAAAAAATTGTTGTCCAAGACCTGGAGCACCACCCGGGAATATTGGCATACGAGGACCCACACCAGGGATAAAGGCAGGTCTCATTTGAGAAAACTGCGCCTGAAACAAGACCATAAGGAATTTACAATGACAGATCATACAAAAGTAAGTGCGGGTAGGTTGTTCATTGATGGTGGGAAGTACTACCTGCAGCTTAGCCCTTCTTTCTTCTTTCCTTTGAGCAAGAGCAACATACAACGGTTTTCCACCAACCATTTTACCATTCATTTCATTCAGCTGCAGAAGACCGAGAAAGCAAATGCATCAACAAAGAAAATAGAGCCTCAAAAAAGTTTTATATTGTCTTGACACAAGATCATTTATATTACCACTCTAGAAGCTTCACTGGCAGCTGAGAAGGCAACAAATCCTGATCCTTTGCTGGTACCACTAGGGTCTCGCATAACCTGTTTGTTTAGAAGTAAGAGATTTAAATCAACGATAAGACCAAATTTGTATCTCTCAAAGTTAGTATGGATGAGCAAAACAAAAGTACTCACCTTGCAAGAAGTAATTGTACCGAATTCAGCAAACAACTCACGCAACTTGTCATCAGTGACGGTTTCATCAAGGTTTTTAACATACAAATTCAACCCATCCAATTGGTTTCCTGTCTCCCTTGCGCCTTGTTCATATCTTCTGCTCAACTCAAGTTCCCTCTCAGATTTCTTCTGAGCTTTACAAACATACCACTCTTTGTCATCAAACTTCTTTCCATTGAGGGCCTCAACAGCACGGGCTGCATCTTCAGGATTTTCAAAGTTGACAAATCCAAAACACCTGGACTTCCCATCTCCGTCCCTCATAACGACAGCACTAGAAATATTACCATACTGACCAAAAGTAGTCTTCAACTCATCATCCGTAGCCGTTTCCGACAGATTCTTCACATAAACATTAGTGAACTTCATCTTATCAGCAACCGACTCTCTTTCCTCCTTCCGGAGGAAAGGCCCAACGAAAATCTGTTTGTCGTTCAGCACTTTGCCATTCAGCTTCTCAATAGCATTTTTAGCAGAATCCTCACTCTCAAACTGCACAAAGCCATATCCTTTAGACTGACCCAAGTGATCAGTCGCAACCTTACAGGACACAATATTCCCACACTCGGAAAACGCCTCGTGCAGAGTTTTGTTGTCAACTGACTTGTCCAAATTCTTCACACGAAAGACAAAACCACAGAAATTAAGCATCAAAGCAGAACAAGAATCTGCAAACAAACGCTTGCTAGAGAATTGAAATAGCAAACTTACCTTGACAAATAAGTTCCCAATCCCACTTTTACGAGCAGAAGAATCACGTGAAGAGTAAGTAATCCTAATCATCTTCCCGTTGATATGACTGTAATTGAGCTTATGCATTGCCTTTTCCGCTGCGATTAGAAAACAAAAACAAATGCAAAAGAGATTTAACCAAAAGATTTGAGCAATCAAAACACCAACTTTATAACCAGCATTCGAAAATTGATAGCTACAAACAAATCAAACAGTTCATCGACGCAATACCCATTACTTTAGATTACACAGAAAATTGATTATAAATTCATAAAACCAGATCATAATGTCGGAATGTGATATCGAAAAAGGGTGAAAATTTTAGGGCACTAAACCATCATCGCTATTGCTGTAGTTGACATAACCATATCCAAGAGAGGCATTGGAGGCAGCGTCGCGACAAACACGAACCGATACAACAACCGGAGAAACCTCATTGAAATAGTCATAAAGCTGAGAATCAGTCACATTGAATTCCAGATCTCCGACATAGAGCGAACAGAGAGCACCGTGATTCACTCCGTCGCTTCCACCCGTCGCCGCCGAGGCTCCGTCTGCGATAGAAACCGGAGGAGAAGACGAATGCGAAGAAGGAGCTTGAACCTGCGCCATTGTTGCAGAATCAAAGACCGATAAAAAGGGGA